TTTCAACATTGCTGCTTTTGAACACTTTTAAGCAAAAGCTGTATTTCAATTGTTTGAGTAACTGTACAGCACCTTGTGTGCGGTGAGGCATGGATAAGTGCGATTACTTCACATTGTGCTGAATTATCACCAATCAATTATCACGTTAACCAGAGCTGGACTTTTTTGTTATTTAATTCAAGAAGTAACTGTTTGGTCACAAATCAGCTAGCTGTTGTATATAGTCCCAAAACGTTCAGATGAATGCAATTGCTCTGAACAAGACACGTCCTGGAAAGCGATTGTCCATGCATTGTTTTCAAAACCGCTCAAAGTTGAAAACTACAAAGTGCGACTTTTTTTATGGTTGGGAAAAAATGCTCATCATTTCTAAAATAGCACCCAGGTTTTTTCAACCCTTGGAAAATAAAGAAGGATAACTCTTCCGCTCGGATCTTTTAATTCAAAAAATTTTAAATGCATTTTATATTTTCCATTTAAATATATATATTCAATTTGTTTATTTCACTTTGCTAACATATTAAGATACATTCTTATTGTAGACTTTCATGAAATGTTATCCGTCTGTTTTCAAGAAATAAAGTTTTCCCAGTTTTTTACGCTTATTTTTTGTTGAAAATTAAAAAAATACCAAGACATATTTCTTGTCATTTTTGTTTTTATAAACACTTTATATTAGCAAACGCCTGCCTAAAATATTAAGCTTATGAAAAAAGAATTATGCAAGAAAAAAAATCGTTTTTGTATTTCTCATTAAAATAATAAAAAAATTATTAAAATTACACTTTAATATACTGAAAGGTGGGGGTATTTCAAATCCTTCTAATTTGGGTACATAAATATGTAGGAGAAGTTTCGTTTGGTATCCCATACCACCTTAAAGTAAAATTTTCGCTTAGATAGGATGGCGCACAACCATTTTTTTGCATAATTGTGTGTTTCTTCGCTGTATAAAATATATCTGATTAGCATTTCTTTGAGAAACAGCGTTTGTGATATAGCATTAGTAAACTCTGCAGTAATATACGATGTTTTTCTTTTTTTTAATGGACAAAACATGGAACTGCCGATCGCTTCGAGATTTCGAGATGTTGCAATTTAATTTTTACTTACTGACAGTCGATATAAAAGTAAATATTTCGTCTACCTTCTCTACACAGTGGTATTGGGTTTTTTTTTCTACAGATTTTCGCCATTGTTTATTTCTCAACATAGACTGTGCTATTAATACCGTCACGCGACTTTTCATACAAACGGGACGTAACTCTAAAACTGTGCGATTGAATTTTAATCAAACAGACGTAATATTTTAAAATTAAAGGGCAACTGAAAGCGATATTTTTTGCTTTCGGCAAATATTTTATGTACACAACCTCGCTTGATTCAGTGTATATTAACCCGGAAATGAAACGTTTTCTATAAGACAAGATGCTGTCTTTCAAATTGTGTATTGTATACATGTTACACAGTAGTTCGCCGAACTCATTTTTTTTTTTCATAACATGGCTTTACGAAGGACCCTGACTGCATATTTGATTTTAATTTCAAACTAAAAATCTGATTTATTCTGTAACGTAAAGGCGATCTAAACACCATGTACTCTTTTTTTTTTCTGTCGCGTGGATGCTATTTTTTTTCAATGCGAGAATAAAATTGATAACAACAGGGACGTACGTATATATAACATCAAAGAGAAATAATTGCCTAATTTTTAATTCAAAAACTGTTCATTTATAATTGCTTACATAAACACTTTTGAACTCGTACATGTAATTAACTACTCTCTAAGTAGACCAATCTTGTGACCAAACGTGACATTCATGTTACATGTACCTGGCCAGCGGCTAATTACGGTACACCAGTGACCAGTGTAATTATGTCGGATTACTCAGGGTAAATCATAAAGTAATTATCTACTTCTGTTGACAAAAAATCGCCGGAATTCGGAATGTGCAGTGGTCGGAATATACAGTGTTTTATTCTATATAAATTATAAAGAAATTTTTGGGAATAAAATATTACGTCGGAAAGTCCAGTGTGCCGGATTGCACAGTTGTCGGATTGGACAGTGGGCACTGTATATCACTGTGAATTCAAATACATCTATTTGCCTACATGCATATATACACCCAGACCTAGTTCTTCTGAAGCATGTCATGTTTAATGTAGAGCGTTTATATTAAAGCAGGTCAAGGTTATGACATGAGGTAAATAAAAGGAGCAGAACTATTATATACCCTGTTAAAAAGTCTATAGGCGGATTCAACAGGGTGGGGGTGTAGTTGATTCAAAGAAATAATAAATCACGATTTTTCAATGGGAACTATCTTTATGTTTAAAAAAAATAATAAAACTTGATTTAAAAAAAAAAACACTTGATTTGCAGTTTTGCTAAAAATACATTTATGTGTAGCAGCGTCCAATAATCTTGAACCAGCTTGTATCATCGCAAAAGCGGATTTTTTTTTTTTTTAAGAAAACAAAATCAGATTCACAAAAATCGGGAAGAACCAGACGATGTGTTTGTGAGGGGGAAAGAACCTCACTTTTCGTATTAATTTTGCAATACACGTTCATATATTGTATAAACTAGAAAGTAAACTTATTTAAAGTTGAGCCCCCTCAATAATATATCTGATGATCTTTTGTTCCCCTTTTTTTCTTTTTTCTTTTTGGTGAAGGAATCTTTTTTTTTTTTAATTTCTGTTTGATTCGACCCCCCCCCCCCATGTGAATCTTTTTATAAAGATGTATTTGTCTGTGTGTATGTCCGTTATTTTCAGGCTCATTAGCTTTTTGTGAGCCTGAAAATAACGGATATACACACAGACAAATACATCTGTATAAAAAGATTAAACATTCTAGTTCGCTTATTTCATCTGTAGATGACCAGCACACAATAATATCTAACTCTAATGGAGAAGTTTTCTTTTTTGAATAAAAAGAAAAGAAAAAAGAAAGGAAAGACAAAATGAGGGCTAGTGTACAATTACATACAACTATACAACTAGTTTTCTTTTTTCTATCTTGCTTGGGTAAAAGGTATTAAACAGTGGAAACGAAGACGGAATTTGTGTCTGTTATGTTTAATTACTGTGGGAGGGAGATAGAGCGATAGCGAGAGAGAAATAGAAGAGAGAGAGCGCACGATATGGTAAAAGGGAGAAATATAGTGGGAGGGAGAGCAAAAATGCAGTAAAGGAGATAAAGTAGAAGGGTAGCCTGCATAGTGACAGTGAGAGAGAGAAAAAAAGAAGGAGGAAGAGGTGAGAAAGCGCCGGGAACGGAGAGAAAAAATTAAAGCGGGAGGTAATGGCTAGAGGGCGATAGGGAGAGAGAGAAAGTAGAGGGAGGGAGAAGCCAGAGGGAGACAGTGAGAGAAAGAGAGAGTAGAGGGGTAGAGACTAGAGAGCGACAGTGAGAGAAAGGGAGGGTAGAGGGAGGCAGAGACTAGAGAGCACCAGTAAGAGGGAGCGCGAAGAGGGAGAGAGATACTAGTGAGCGACCGAGAGTGAAAGGGAGAGAGGAGAGGCAAGACAGCGTCAGAGAGAGAGAGAGAGAGAGATAGGAAAGGGAGGTGGGGGAAAAAGCGACAGTGAGAAAGAGAAAGTAGATGAAGCTAGGGACTAAAAAGCTACAGTAACAGTGAGAGAGAAGAGAGATAGAGGGAGAGGCGACAGAGCGACAGTGTGAGAAAGAGAAAGTTAAGGGAGGGAATTAGAGGAGATAGAGCAACCGGGAGAGAGAAAAAGTAAAGGGAGAGAGAAAGCAGAGGTAGAGACGAGAGAGAGACAGAGAGGGAGGAAATAGAGGTAAGGAAAAACTAGAGGGCGTCAGCCAACATTGATAGAGAAAACGCAAATTGAGGGCGACAGAGCGACAGTGAGAGAAAGTATAGGGAGAGACTAAGGAAAGAGAGAAGAAATATAGGGAAAAACTAGAGAGCGACAGGCGACATTGAGAGAGAGAAAGTAGAGTGGGGGATAGAGAGTGACAGTGAGGGAGAGGGAGAGTCTTAAGAGCGATGAGAGAGAGAAAATACAGAGGGAGGGAACATGAAGATCAGCTATATAAAGCGTTTGCAGTTTAATTGGGATAAAGGGGAGAAAGCTTTCTTCAGTCGAAAAATTGGACATGCAGTGTGGACCTAGGGAATAAACAGCATCAATACCGCGACCATTCCAGAAACATATTTGAAGTGACAGAACATATTAGATGCTACATGACAGCTGCTCTGTGTATACACCAATAGAAGAATTACAGATACGTGCACTTTGTGAAATTAAAAGGTTGAGAATTTTATATTGCGTTTCTGTAGAAAAATTACACATGCAAAACAGTGCTTTTTTATCTGAAGTTAAAAAAATCTTTTCATTCAGAACAATAGAAATAAGATATGTTTAAAATTATCAATGGAAATAATAAAAAAAAAAAAAAGCACGTTCAGCCAAGAATTATTAAATTATATAGATCGATTATCTATGAAGATCTAAGTAAAAATTTTCATGAATCTGTCGGTTTTTTTTTTTTAATTTTACTCTAGAGTTCAAAATGACTCCATGGCAGATATTTTTGTTATGTAATCTTTTATAACTCAGTTGATGTTAAAGATGTATTTTATAAAGAAAAATGTACACATTATATATCTCTATGAAATATATGGAGATAACGAACAGTATTCAAGCTCAAAAGTCCATTAAACTATTTAATTAAATTTTTCATATCAGAGCATATCCAAGGGCCTCGTCAGTTGTCACAAAATATATGCCTTCTGTAAATATACAGTTACTCCTACTATAAAAAGGGCAAACATTACCTGGCAAGCCCCCTGTGATCAGGGCTGCTTTTTTTAAACCTCGGATCTTTGTAAAACTTAAATGATTAATGGGCAGATAACTCTGTAATATCCCGAGTAAAGAAAGAAATCTCGAGAGATCTTGAGTTGTCTTTCTTTAAATGTCAAGTGCGCAAGCTCGTGCAAAGTGAAAGTGCAGCACAAAGGAAGAATAAAAACGTAAACATGGGATTAACAAACTTTACGAGTCTTCTTATAATTTTATGTTTTTGTGGAATCGACAAGGTAAAGTCTATAGAATTATTCTGAATAGATGCTTATAATGATTAAGGTACAGTATAGCCCCTATGTGTATTATATTTCTTCCTCCGTTAACAGGTGGGAGTTGTTTTATGACCCCACAGTACCTGGCAGTTCAATGAGTTGACAATGTCTCTTTCGCAAAATGGCGTTGGAGAGATATCTGTTATCTAGGAAGATTAGACTGAGTATTGAAAACACACCTCTCTTATCCACGAACTACACTTTAATCAGAGATTCCTCCTTATATTGTTTGATTTTGGACTCCCCCCCCCCCCCCCTTCATGTCGAAATAAAGAAAAAAAGACTGGAGTTAGAGTAAGAATCTCGGAATAACAATCTGAAATGACTAGAATTCGATCTTATAGAGAGAAAAAATACTTGTACAATTCAAATGTACCTGTGATATGTAAGGCAACTAGTTTATTTGCATGATCAGAGACCTAATGCATACTACAACGTTAGTATACATATAGGTCCCTGCTTGCAGGTTCATATGTTGGATCCACCACAGGAGTTATATCAACAGGAAGCAATGAAAACTGGCTCCGAGCTTTGCAAGCATACTTGCCTAGCGAAGCTCGCTGGTTGCTGTTTTTATTGCTTTATTGATAAATCTGTTGAGTCATGTGGATCCACAGAATGATGTGTTTCCTTGTTCAAATTTAGGTTTATCAAAATAATTTCAATTCATTTGGTTGCTCTCCATGATTAAGACTTAAGGGTAAATATTCAAAATGAAATGAAGTGTCCAGGCTTAAGGGATCAATATAGGTCTATTTTATTTTTTTTCAAGCAGAAACATTAACTTGGGGGAGGGGGGTCAGGATGAAGTTTATCTGACTGTAGGGGTGCAACGATAAACTAACCTCACGATACGATACGTATCACAGTATTCAGTTCAAGATACGATACGTACATGTATCATGATACATGACAACTGAGGTTAAAAAGTCTTTCAAGTTTGCCATCATATTTTTTTAAACTTGACAGGGTTATACAAAATGTTTAAAATAATACAAAATAATTAAAATAACATTTTGTTAACTTGAATTGGATTGTTAGGTAGATCTTTGAGTTGTGACAACCATGGAAAAATATACCGCGATATACCGTCAAACGGTTTATCGTTGCACCCTTATCTGACTGGGTAGAATACCTTGAAGGACCTATTGCCTCACAGAGTAGAGCATTCAGTGATATAACAGTTCAACTCTTGTCAGATTCCTGCATATTCTCCAGCCCTGTTTGATGTTTCTGAGTGCACAGAAGCAGAGAATCAGGAAATACATGTATAATGTCTGCATGAATAGCAGCACTGATACTTATTCATGTTAAGATCACAAGGTTGTAAACATAAGGAATATGATATCATGGGTTTACATGTAGTTAGAATAAATCCTTTTGAAAAAAGAAAAACTGCAAAAGTAATACCGGTATTCCTTTTAAAAATTTGTAAAATGTTTATTGAAATATGTTTGAATTACAATTATCATGGTCCTCAAGCAATATATAATTCAAAGCATATCGATTGAACATGACTCAATTATTATATATACGTTTTATAGTGCAAGGTGACTAACTATGAGATAGTTATTATCATTACTGTGGGTCAAATTACATTAAGCAGGAGGAAACTTTTCACTTTTTTTGTGATACTTAATTTTCAATTTGCTTTTTCAATTAAGAAGTTTCCGTGCCTTGCCCATTCAAACTTAAGTGTGTTAAAATATGTGATTGACAATAGGCCCCATGTAACTTTTTATCACGATAATATAATTACATGTGTATCATCTGTTTTAGGTTGTGTGTGACGGCAATGGTGTAATTTTTGCCAGGCTGAATTCCTCCCATACTGAATGGGGTGACCATTTCTGTATACTGTACAATCCACTCTTCCATTCTCTCCCAGAGGAGAAGTCGCAGGCTGTAGGTATTATAAAAACAATACAAAAGTTAATCTACATTTAGCAATTTATAAAGAAAATAATGGAAAGTTGATTGAATAAATCCAACACAGTATTCACTCTGTTTTTTTTCCCAGTGGCAAAGATAAATTACATGTAGCAAACCACAGCTGCTGAGCTCAAGCTGTGAACATTATCAGCAGTCCAGTCTATTATGAAATTTTGTAATATTATAATTACATGTATTATATATAAATCTTACAAAAGAACTGTAGTTGGAACAAGAAATTGTAACATACAAAATGTTAAAACAGAATGTAATAATTATAGTCAAACCTTGTTAACAAAGTGCTCCATTCATACACATACATTAATTTATATACTCTCTTATAAGTTGGTTCACTTTTAAAGCTTATCAGATTATATTTGAGGAATTTACCCCTGACTTCCTTTTAAGTCAGTATGTTTTTTGGCCAGAATCTGTTACCAATTTCAAATTTTCTATAATATTTAATACCTGTGTTTCAAAATATGTTTTGGGGCATAACATTAATAATTGAGACTATTATTTACAAGATAAGATCATTTAAATCTGAAAGTACTTGTGTTGTAAGCATAATTACAATCTAATCTTAGATCTCTCCTTTCCTGCATTAGTTTAAAGTTCTGACATTTGTAAATTATGTAAATGATTATCATTGCAAATTTTACAAAATGTATATATTTTTAAATATATATCCTCATCCAGAAAAATACTGAATTTTCTAGGATTCTAATAAGTCTGATGTAGAGTTTTGGACCAAAATTTAACTTTGACCTTTAGGCAAGTATATACGGAACAGATTAAGTCTTTTCTTAGCTTACTCATTCTTTGTACAGAGGGCTTATGACCTAGTTAACTTGTCCCAGGATGAAGGCTGTTTTTCCAGTGGGGTTTACACCAATGACACCAACGTTAAAGGCAAAATTGTGGCCATTGCCAGAGGAAATCGGACATGTACATTCACAGAAAAAGCCATGATGGCCAAGAGACATGAAGCAGCAGGGATATTGATTATCTCCAAGAACAAGGTAGGAGGGGGAACTAGGAAACAAGAAGGAGTTAGCTAGGGCATCAGATAAATTTTTACTTTGTTTAAACTTTGTGTATATATTATGGGTACAAATTTTAAATGTATTGACCACAAGCCTATTTTTTTAATTGAGAATATTAAAATATTATACTGTTACAGTACATTATAGACAGATTGCACAGTTTAAAGAACGTAGAAAAACAGTTAATTGGGAATTTAAATAAAGGTTAACATTAATTCCCAGTGAAATGGATTACCCAGGTGTTGGATTAGACAGTGTCCACTGTATACAATCTCTGATTTTTTTTTATCCCCTCGCATCAGGATTGATGTGCTCGTTTGCAATGGGATGCTTTGCTTTGTATTGCACTTGTTGTAAAATACAGCTCTTCTCATAATCAGAGTTTAGTTTATCTAAGACTTTTTATAAAAGTCGCCTTCTGATTTGATATGTTTAAAATGTACAAACTGTATGACAATTTATAATTTACAGATATACCCAGGGGCTAACCAGACGTCGGACTATAACACGATCAACATCATTGTGGCCAGCATCAAAAGTACAGACTTTCAGGACATTTTGGTAATACAAGCACTTAAACATGATTTTTTTTCACTATAGTGTGGTTATAGCTGACCAGTATCCCTTAGAAGAAATATTTGAAAAGCAGCAGCTGCATTTTTTCTTGTCAGTTGACACTGGATGGAGAGAATAAGTTATAACTGAAACGTTTCCTGTTTCATAAACCGGATTCTTTGTAAACATGAAGAAGTATGTTCTAAAATATATTGAACATGTTGTATATCAAGAACTATGAGAATGAAGTAATTAACCTGCACAAAAAAACTTCAGAACCATACATTTTAAATTTGGCATGAATGAGATACTTACTTAGATGGAAACAGAAATGTATACATACTTTTTATCTACCATGTCTACTTCTGGTATTGTATAGCCAACATGAAGATGCCCTATTGTACTGTTCTTAGGCTGTATTTTTTTTTAGGGGGGGGGGGGGGTCCTTCATTTACAATTTCTGATCATGATGGACAAATCAGAAAATAGAAAAAAAAATTGCAGAGTTGAAGCTTCTTCATTTTGTCACTATATTAAGGTTTTTTTGTCTTTATCATTGCAGAGAGAGGGCTCAGAAGTGGAGGTGATGTTGGTAGCTCCAGACAGCAGTGGCTTTGATCCCTGTATTGTGGTCATCTTTCTTCTGGCCATGCTGTGTATCACTGTGGGGGGATACTGGGCAGGAGTGGTCAAAACTTCAGGGTAAGAGTTAATGTAACAGGGAGAGGTTCTTATTGCTAGAACATCAGGTGAGAGAGTAGGGTATCACTGAAGAAAGAGTTTGAGAGGAATTCAGTATTGTTGGGTAAGGGGTTAGATATGCTTTTGAGAGAGTTGATGTGGGAATTAGATATTGTTGGTAAGGGGGTAAGTTTTGCTACTGAAATTAAGAATTGGGGAAAATTGAGTATTGCTAGGCATGACTTATAGTATTGTTATGAAATGATTTGGGATAATCACTTATTGCTGGATTTTGGATACAATATAATGTCAGTAAATGTAAAAAAAGAGCATTTTTTTCACTAAATTATGGAGGTTCAGAATTTTTTTCTGCTAAATGGATGATTTACATCTGAAAATGGAAAGGATTTATGCAAGTCACAGATTCAAATGTGTAATAAAAACAATAATATTAACAGTAAGCAATTGTGATATACATGTAAATTTCTATAGTTTGAAAAAACCAAAATCAAAAGACTCGGGGAAAAAATCTGGGAGATTGGGAGCTGATGACAACAGCGATGATGATGAAGAGGAGCTGGACATCTCCGTACCAATGATCATCGTCTTCTTCTTTTTTGTCTGTACCTTCCTCATTCTTCTGTATTTCTTCTATGATTATCTTGGTAAGTAGTTCTAACTGAAAAATGTACTAGCTGGCATATTTAATTGCTACAACTGTATAAAAGTGGGAAATAAAAATGTTTTAATTACCTTTTTAAATCATTGGGGCTTCTAGCCTTTTACATTCCTCTTTACAAAAGAACACATATTTATCCAAATGTTTAAAATATATATAATTATAAACATGTATATACCATGGCACCATAGTTAAACTTTATTCAAACAACAATGAGATGTTCAAGTTAATATTTTTATATTCTACAGTGTATGTGGTGATAGCTCTGTTTTGTTTGGCCGGAACAGCCGGTCTATTTGCCTGTGTGGAGCCATTATGGAGCAAAATACCATGGGAGGCGAGGTAGTTATAGAAGTGTTACAGATTTAATTACAAGACGAGACACTGAGGGCCCAATTGTTTATATAAAGACATGTTAATCTCAGGGCAATATGCATGGAAAAAAGAAAAAAAATCCCACCTATATGGATGTGAATATATTAGTGAAAAAGCCACGTATTGCATTCTAAGAAAAAAAGGACTATTATACATACTACTACAGGTGTAGCTTTTTCTTTGGGTGCAAATTTGTTCTCTAAAATAGTTATGTTTTTTTTTCAATTTTTAGGTCACCTGAGTCACTCAGGTGACCTATTGCTATCTGTTTTCGTCCGTCGTCGTGCGTTGTCCGTCGTGCGTTAACTTTTGAACATTTTTAACTTCTTCTCTAGAACCGCTCAACCAATTTCAACCAAATTTGGTATATAGCATCTATAGGTGAAGGGGAACAAAAATTGTGAATTTCATGGTCCCTGCCCCCCTGGGGCCTGAGGGGTGGGGCTAAAACCACCAAAAATAAAGCAATCTTTAAAAATCTTCTTCTTTACTCCTGGACATCAAGCAGTCAAACTGTTGGCATCATTGTAATAAGCATTGAGCCCTCTACCAAAATTGTGAAATTCATGGCCCCAGGGTCAGGGGTTCTGGCCCCAGGGTGGGGCTATATAGATCATATAGTGAAAGTGCATTATTTCTTTGAAAATCTTCTTCTCGGCTCCTGGGTATTAAATAAAGTTACTAAGTACATAGTTATGATGAGCAAGAGTGCCTCTTCCAAAATTTGTGAAATTCATGGCCCCAGGGTCAGGGGTTCTGGCCTCAGGGTGGGGCTATATAGATCATATAGTGAAAGTGCATTATTTCTTTGAAAATCTTCTTCTCTGCTCCTGGGTATTAAATATAGTTACTAAGTACATAGTTATGATGAGCAAGAGTGCCTCTTCCAAAATTGTGAAATTCATGGCCCCAGGGTCAGGGGTTCTGGTGTTAGGGCGTGGCTCTATAGATTATATAGTGAAAATGCATTAATTCTTTGAAAATCTTCTTCTCTGCTTCTGGGTATTAAATAAAGGAACTAAGTACATAGTTATGATGAGCAAGAGTGCCTCTTCCAAAATTGTGAAATTCATGGCCCCAGGGTCAGGGGTTCTGGTGTTAGGGCATGGCTCTATAGATTATATAGTGAAAATGCATTAATTCTTTGAAAATCTTCTTCTCTGCTTCTGGGTATTAATTAAAAGAACTAAGTACATAGTTATGATGAGCAAGAGTGCCTCTTCCAAAATTGTGAAATTCATGGCCCCAGGGTCAGGGGTTCTGGTGTTAGGGCGGGGCTCTATAGATTATATAGTGAAAAAGCATTAATTCTTTGAAAATCTTCTTCTTTGCTCCTGGGTATTAAATAAAGTAACTAAGTACATAGGTATGATGAGCAAAAGTGCCTTTTCAAAATTGTGAAATTCATGGCCCCAGGGTCAGGGGTTCTGGTGTTAGGGCGGGGCTCTATTGATTATATAGTGAAAATGCATTAATTCATTGAAAATCTTCTTCTCTGCTTCTGGATATTTAATAAAGTAACTAAGTACATAGTTATAATGAGCAAGAGTACCTTTTCCAAAATTGTGAAATTCATGGCCCCAGCGTCAGGGGTTCTGGTGTTAGGGCGGGGCTCTATCAACTATATAGTGAAAATGCATTATTTCTTTGAAAATCTTCTCCTCTGCTCCTGGGCATTAAGGTGATAAACTAAGTACATAGTTATGATGAGCAAGAGTGCCTCTTTCAGAATTGTGAAAGCCATGGCTTCTGGGTCAGGGGTTCTGGTGTTAGGGTGGGGCTCTATTGATTATATAGTGAAAATGCTTTAATTCTTTGAAAATCTTCTTCTCTGCTCCTGGGTATTAAATAAAGTTACTAAGTACATAGTTATGATGAGCAAAAGTGCCTCTTCCAAAATTATGAAATCCATGGCCCCAGGGTCAGGGTTTCTCGTGTTAGGGTGGGACTCTATTGATTATATAGTGAAAATGCATTGATTCTTTGAAAATCTTCTTCTCTGCTACTGGAGACCATTTAAACAAACTAAGTGAATTATAATGCATAAGGATGCCTTTTCAAAAATTGTGAATTTCATGGCCCCAGGGTCAGGGGTTCTGGTGTTAGGGTGGGGCTCTATTGATTATATAGTGAAAATGCATTGATTCTTTGAAAATCTTCTTCTCTGCTACTGGAGATTATTTAAACAAACTAAGTGCATGATTATAATAGACAAGGATGCCTCTTCCAAAATTTTTAAATATATGGCCTCAGCTTTTGGGGTTCTTGAGGAGGGGGGGGGGGCTCTATTGATTATATAGTGAAAAAGCATTAATTCTATTAATTAATCATTAATTAATCCTGTCTGCTCCTTAGTGTTGAGCTGATAAATAAATTGCTTAGCTATGATGAAAATGGGAGCTTTAAACAGAATTTTTAAATCTTGTGGTCCTAGGGTGAGGGGTTCTGGCATAACGAAGGGGGGGGGGCTTTTGATAATATAGTGGAAAAGTGTTAATTCTTTGAAGTCCATAGTTATGATGATGAGGGTAACTCTTCCAAATTTGTAAATTTCTTGACCTTTGGTCTTGGGTTCTGGTGTTAGGGTAAGGCTTTGTTGAATATGTAGTGAAAATGCATTGTACCTGTGAAATTCTTCTCTGCTTCTGGCATATCGGAAGCAAACTGAGTAAAAGTTTAAATGATATGAGTAAGTGTATTTCTACCAGATTTTTAAACATCTGGACCATTCGTCTAAGCATTCTGGTCCTGGGCAGGGCTCTATTAATTTGTATTCTACTGAGAGAAGTTATTCCCCTTTTCCATTCACCTTTGATAATTAATCACTGTAAATAATGTATTTGAAAGGTTAATAGAATAAGATAATTATGCAAGAATGTTTATCGTATAATTAAAAAAGTACTTTCTTAGTTTTAATAATCAGGTAGACCTGTAAGTAATGGATAAATAAAAATGAGACAAAAATAACTTATCTTATTAAAAGTTCTTCAAAGACCATAAGAGAGATCAATGCTAGAGGTCTTAATATGGGTATAAAAATAGTACAGAAGCACTAATAGTTTGTCAATAGTCTGCATGGTGATAGTGTTAAGTGGGGGACAGATTAGAACTTAATTTATGAGTTGATACTGAATACTAGACTAATTATTTTGTTGATCCTGATCTTCCTACTTCTCTTGCTTTAGGGCACATTGCTTCATCTATCAGTGTATTTTACTTCGAAATTGTTGTATTATATTCAGGTGACCGTTAAGGCCCTTGGGCCTCTTGTAATTTTTTCATACTGTAATATAAGATTTTAATTCACCCTTTTTCCACGTGAAGTTTCTTGTACCTATTTAAAGGCAAAGTAAACCTACTTTTTTAAAATTTTCCTCCATACTAAAAATACCCCCCCCCCCCCCACCCCCCTCCCCACATAGATTTGGTAAAAATAAAATTAAAATTAAAAGAAAAATATTTATTTCAGAAATGCTCTGATTCATTTCATTATTTTTAATTTCTTCAATGCATTCAATGGATATCATTGACAACCATATCGTTTGGTTAGATATGTATTGCTCATGTAGGAGCACTGTCATTTCCAGGATGATTGCATAGTGCCAGTACTACACATTGAAACATTAGAATCAGGATCTAGGTTTATGGTGGGGCCTTTCATGGGACAATTTTAGTGCAATATTTGATTTATATGTTTCGGGAATTAATGACCCCTGTGTCAATGTTTGGATGCTATGATGCAGTTGTTCTACAACATTTTTTACAAGTCCTCTATTTGTAATTCAAGAGTTCGAACAAAAGAATAAATTATTTATGGAATTTATAATTACATACTAAATAGTGGTAATTTACATCTCTAGCAAATTGGAGAGTTGGGAATAAATCAATTGTACATGTATAATAAAACATAATATTCACAGCATGCCTTAATACATGTACTTTCATCATAAAGAATCACTGTACAGTATGGCACTTTGAATAAATGGTAATAACTCTTATTTTAACTGAAGCTTTTCATGGGACTTTAACATAAAACTTGTAAAATTGGAATAAAGTGGAATTAGGTAATTAAGCATTTATATACTTTTTAATAAATTGCTTTATTAACCAATCTAAAGTATTAAATTAAAATAACTCTAATACTTGTATAAATATACATGTATGTTCTAACTGAAGACAATATTTCAAATCATTGTATGGATCTGTGGGAAGGGTATGTCTGGATCCCCCTGAGATTTGCAAAATTATTAGATGATTATGAAAAGTTAAAAAAAATGCCTTTGCCACCACCCGAAGACAACACTCATGCCCCCTTTAAAAAAACCAGGAAGGAGAGTCATATATATGTCACTGAAAGAAATTGACTTACATGTCCCTCCCCTCCCCCTTTCTGTTTTTCGAAGAACAGATCTAGACTTAGTATTCAGTGTACTGTACAGGTTGACATTTTTTTCTAGTTACTTATTGTTCCCTACCTTCACGAAAGCAAAAGAACATTAAATCTCACTGGTTTGTCTGTTAGTCCATCTGTCTATCCAGCTTTTGGTCTGTCATAGAAACACAGACATTGGTCATATTGATTTGAATAAGTAGAGATGGGACTTTTATATTTCACTTGTGGATTACATGTGAGAAGACCTTTCCAAATGTACAAGGAAATTTGATCTGTGACTTTGACCTTGAAGTTTGACCTAATTGTAAGAAGTTTTATCATTGGTCATATTAACTATTGAATGAGAGAAGATTGGACATTCATATTTCAAATGATTATTACCTGTATTCAAACTTTTCCAGATATACTGTGAATTTTGTCCCCCTGGCCTTGTTCTTTAAGTTTAATCTACTTTTCCAAATTTTTAATATTTATAGCAATTTTGGAATGAGAAAAGATAGGGCTTTTATGGTTTTTACATGTATGTATTGTACATGTAACCTAATATGTCAACACATTTCAGAAACTAAATATTTTTTGACCTTATGACCTTGACCTAGACATTTGATGTACTGTTCCACAGCTGTAGTTTTGACCATACTTTTGCTTATTAATAAGAAGAGACAGGACATTTATATTTTTCACAGGTGCATTACTCGAGCATTTCACACTTTTTGGAAAGTATTATTCTATTTGACCTCATGCTCTGACCTTGAATTCTGAATTTGCTTGTTATATTAGTACGATAGTCTATGGTGAACATGTTCATGGGGCTCATCATAGTTAAAAAATACTTATAATATAATACGTGAATGATTTTTTTTGTTATTTGTAGATTACCTGCCAATAAAATTCCATTCTTAAAACAGCGACCATTTTATAGGGACATAATTTTGGTTCTGCTCTGCTTAGGTGTGGCCGTGTTTTGGGGAATTCAAAGAAAAGAAAGGTATTATAGACATTAACATTATTTGAAGATTTTGTTTAAAATTTTAAATATTTGGGTACACTGTAAAGAAAATGTGAATTGAAGTAAATGATTTAAGCCCAGTGAAGAGAAAAATTACTACTTTGATGCAATTCATTTTCAAGGATTCAAATGCACTGTGATGTACAAATATTTCTTTTTCGCCTCCTGTTATTATATGTTACCGTGTGTAAAAATTGCATCAAAACTGGATTATTTGAAAAAATTCTGTGATGAGTAAAATGACTCTTTCAGATATTATTGAAATAATCCTAATTATATATAGTACCACAGCTCTGGGGGAAAAATGTTCTTGTATTTCAAAGTATAAGAATCCTCTTTCCCTTTACATGAAAATACGAGTAACTAACACAGGACGAAAGACCATCTTTAAGCAATCGCTTAATGGTGGCTTAATGGTAGCTTAATGGTGGCTTATAGAAGTTAATTCCTTTAAGCCACCATTAAGCTGCAGCTTGTAGGTGCTTAATGTCCAAACTTCATTAAGCTACCATTAAGTCACCTTTAAGCTGCAGCTTAATGGTGACTTATTGTCCAAACTTAATTAAACCACCTTAACGCATCCAGTATCAGGTCTTTAAACTAACTTGTTAAGTTTGAAGTTGTTTCAGTATCATTTCCGCAAATACTTATTCAATTCATAATTTTTTTCTCGCTATTTCTAACATCTTTGTCAATGCGTATAAACTCGGGAACTGAGAACAGCTTCATCAAATGCCTTAAAATTTTTGCTCCCTAAAATCAGTTTATTTGAATACTTGTTTTAAAATTATTTTTATCCATAAATACATAATATATATTAATTTTTTTAAAAAATCACATATTTTTCTTTCGTGTTTGGAGAGCCACGTACGTTCCACTGCCGAATTCATAGGAAATGTAATTATAGTCATTTTCTTCTGGAATATCTCTGTATCTTAATTTTTCTTTGGGTAGAGAAAAGTTTAAGATATAAAAAAAAATATATAGGTATAGATTATATTGCCAATCTTTGAATTAATTCATGAATAATTTGAATTAATTCGTGGTTAAGTGCCATTATTTTTTCCTTTCTTTTAAAATACTGCAGAAGTAAGAATTTATTTAAAATAATGCAGAAGTAAGAATTTATTTAAAATAATGCAGAAGTAAGAATTGATCAAAATATAGTCGGTCTTCAATGATTGTTATTTCAAAATCAATTTTCAGAAGAACAGCCGATCAGATTAAACAGGGTATCCGACCAGATTTATACACATTGAGAAGCGGGGTAAAATAATCAGTGTACAGTATATCAACTAGTTAGACAATAGACCTTAATTAGGTGTCCCCACCAGTCCCCGGTCAATTAACAGGAAACTATACACGGGAACGTACAATGATAGATTTTGATGATCTATTTTTTACAAAACTTAAAATTTACGCAAGCATATAACAAATTAGAAATTATGATTGTACACAAAAAGACAATTATTTTGATACCCATAATGATATAAAAAGAACTAAAACTGAAGATATGTTACAAAAATATTTTATAACTTAATTGTTACGCAAAGATTGTCAAAAATCGTAAATATCCGCAGCATATTTATAAGAACTATAATCTGTTTTTTCCCCCCAATCGTTCTCTTTCGATGATATATTCCTTTTTAATAACAAAATTTTGTTATATCTGTGGAATTTCAATCTTTTCATGCTTATAAATCGGCGAATAACGGAACAAGGAATTCAGTTACTTAAAATCAAAAAGTTGTTTCACACCATCACACCGAACTCCGGTCCACGGTTAAGAAATATTAACGTAATATAAAACTTTATCAAAATTTCTTTTTTAAAATATATACATATGTATAAATATAATTATTCGTATTATAGATTAATAAATATAAACATCAGGAAAATAAATACATGTACGGTACCTGTAACCATTCCAAACAAGTTTTGTTAAAAATAAAGGTTTTATATTTCACTCCAATTTCAACAGCTTCGATAGCACAGCAGTTAAAGCGTTCGCCCTCCAATCTAAAGGTCGTGGGATCGAATCCTGTTGGGAATGCTTTTTTTTTTTCATTTATTTTTTTAAAAATTTTCTTTCTTTTACATTATTTTCGCTGAATTAACAAATGTATAAACTCAACATTTATAATTTTTGTGAAGAAATCATTATAAAAATAATATTTAACCCGTAAAAGCAGTTTTATCGACTGCGTAATGGTGACTTAATGGTGGCTTAAAGGTGGTTTAATGGTAGCTTAATGGAGTTTGGACATTAAGCACCTATAAGTCTGGCTTAATGGTGGCTTAATGGTGACTTAATGATTGTCTAGAAGCTACCATTAAGCACCTATAAGCCACCATTAAGCTACCTTTAAGCATCTATTAAGGACTTTGAGATGGCTTAATGGTTACTTAATGGTGGTGTATTTATTACTTAAATGTAGCTTAAAGGTGCTTAATGGTGACTTAAAGACAACCATTAAACCATCATTAAGGACCTATAAGCCACCATTAAGCCAAACTTAAAGGAAGTGTTTCATCTTGTGTAAACTTTTCTTTTGTTTCAGTTATGCCTGGGTATTACAGGACATCCTAGGTGTGGCATTCTGTGTAAATATGCTAAAGACACTACACCTGCCAAACTTAAAGGTAAAGTGACAGCTAGTGATCAGTACTGTTCGTTAAAATCCATAATTTGTTTTATCCGCTATATGTTCTTAATATTCATAATGTTTATATTTCAAAGCCAAGGGGAATGAAAATCACTTTGCTTTAAGCTTCAATTTGTTATACTGTTATAAGCATCAATTCTTTATAAGCATGTTATTCTGTACATGCTAAGAAAAACAGTTTGCCATAATAATCTTACGCAGAATGTGAAAGGAATGCAGCACAGTTAAGGCTGCAGTAAGGAGGCGGGGCCTAATTTATACGGGAAATGCTTACTATGACATCACACAAAAATATAAGTTCTTCAAATTACCACAGAATGAAATGATTTCTATTTTAAACTGTTGAATAGCTTTAAACTACATCAATACTAACTAGTGCATGCATTATTGTCGCTGGTTAAATCCCACACAGCAATATTTAAACGATTCACTGATCGCAATGCACTTGTCAATGTGATGTCATATCGTAAAATTTGACGCAGTTTGTATGCAGTGAGAGGCGGATCAAGTTATATTTATACAATGAAAAATGTATTTTGTAATTAAATAAAATAAAAATTGTAGATATATAAGAGGCCGTTAACTTGGATGCGATGTCTATTTTATGATTTTATTCATATACTTCCCGTACATTCCCTAGACAAGTGATACTGTCGTATACTTGTATGCAGATTCATTGAAGGGTAATAGAAGGGTCGTCATAAATCGATATATTGCAAGGGCATACCCTCAATGAATTATGACAAGCTTTTACACATAAACTCAAGAAGTATGAAGATATTTGAAAAGTGCTGCGAAGCTGTTGAAATCTTGCAAATGAATTAATTATATCTATATTTAATGTACTTGACCAGCAAAATATTCAACATACGGTCTAACAAATGTAATTTTAGCAATTAGATAGTAGAATCTATATAGGTTCGAAGCACTTTTCACAAACTACAAAGTGTGTTGAAAATAATTATATGTTAAATTTAGATTTTTAACTTGGTTATGCCAGGTTGCAATATTAGAATTTATAGATGACCTCAATATTTCAGGTATATTTGCTAATATCACGTGACTGCCACATCATGTGACAAGTCTAACCGTCGTCAACATGTAGATTTCAAGCACATTGCATTTGTCTGATAATGGTAAAGTCCTATAAAGAAACGCCCATTCTTGTAAAGAATGTATTTTCTATCTAAAAAATTTGCCGATATTTCATTTGGCACCTTAACTGTACTGAGAAGGTGTTTGTACTCAATATTGTTCAGTGTATGGTGACATGTATCAGTAAATGCAACAAGGTTTTCTACAAAAAATTAAAATACAAAAAAGTGCCAAATTTATGATGTATATTCAATGTGTTATTTTTCCAGATCTGTGTCATACTGATGGTGCTGTTATTTTTGTATGACATTTTCTTTGTCTTCATTACACCCTACTTTACCTCTGTGAGTGAAATTCTTCTTTTATTCAGAAAACTGTTTCCCATACATATAATTTAGAAGAAAATGAGCATTACTATTTTCACAACGTGGCATTTCCCTCATGTAATTTTATCTTGACACAATGCTTAGTAACAAATCATTTGAATAAAATTACAAGTAGATGAATTCATACAATTTTAAATGTAGTTCATAATTATCTAGTAAAGGCTCTACTTATACTCCAATTTTTTTCGAAAAAAAAAAACAAAAAAAACTTTCTTATTTTAGAACGGAGAAAGTGTGATGGTAAAAGTAGCCACTGGAGGGTCCTCAGGGGGGTCGTCATCAGGGGAACAGATCCCCATGGTGTTTAAGGTTCCTCGCCTTGGCAGTTCGCTGATGAACGTGTGTAATCTGCCGTACTCTTTACTGGGCTTTGGTGACATCATCGTTCCTGGTAGGTTTCAAGTTCTGAAAAAGTTTTTTCTTTGAATAAAGGGAAGTAACTCTTCATTTCATTTTTAAAGTGTTTTAATACTATGGATTCTTCACTTCTCACTTTTTAAAAAAAAAATCAGCTGTATTTAGATTAGTAGGGTGATAGTAAATGCATTTATAGGAGATGTTATTGTTTTACTCAGAATTCTTACTGAATAAATGAATAAGTCAATCAATTCTGGTTACAATTTTCATGCATTCACAGTTTATCACTTACAAAAAAAAAATTCTCTTTACCAATAATGTTTAGAAAGATAATTGCATTTTTTTTTGTTCTATTTTAACTTTTGTAAATTGTTGTAAGTAGTAGTAACATAGAACATAAAGAACCTGCATCTTAATAATAGATCATTTCTTCTAAGGTTTACTGGTCAGCTATAACCACAGATTTGATGTCAGAGTGGGCACAAGACGGATTTATTTCATAGCCACTGTTATAGGTAAGATACTGATTGTGAACTCGGTATAGCTGTATAGCTTTCACCATAAAATGTAGTATTACACTGACACCTCAGTTTTCATTTCTGAAATGAGATAAGACAGTTTGTTAGAATCTGTATATCACCATTTTACTAAAGTGATAAACATATTGTGAAAGATTTTTTTTTTAAAAGTCATTTCTGAAAAACTTGTTCATTCATTGAAATATTTATTAACCTTTCTGAAATCTGACAGAACACTTTTTTTTAATGTAGTTGTACAGTAATGATTTCAAACCATCATGATTTCCGATAGGATAAATATATGAGTTATTTTCTTTCAGAACCATGCATCCCTTGGTTCTAAAAGAAAGCAAACTTTTGAAATTTTTTGTGTTTAGCAATATATAGAACATTTAATTAAAAAAAAAAGAACTCCCATCAATATAATATGACTTGTTGAATAGATTTACTGGTCAGCATTTTAAAATTACAATTTTCCCCATCTTCTTTTATTGCAGCATATGCTATTGGTCTTGTGGTGACCTTCCTTGCCCTTTATCTTATGGACAAAGGCCAACCAGCTTTGTTGTACCTTGTGCCATTTACACTTGTAACAACATTTGTGATTGGCTGTATAAGAGGAGAAGCTGGTTCCCTATGGACTGGTATTTCAAAACAGGTAAAAATTTTCCAATTTGCAACCATTAGTTTCAATGTACTCCCATTCAGACAGATAGTTAAATATTTACATGTACAGCCAAAGATTTCTTATGCAGTGTGAATGAAACATACAAAAATGTACATGTCAATTAATACAATATTTAATGTACTTACACCTATTTTATTTGATTTTTTATACAGACATAAATATAAACTGTAAAATGTTTTTGAAAAACTTTTTCTTTGTGTATTAGTATGGGAATTAACAGTTGCAGCTTACACAGGTTTTACATTTTTTTCTGCAATAGCTGCAACATTAATTACATTTCTACAAAGAAAGCAGTTTTTTGTTTTAAAAAGCTTAAAGTATCTTGGTCTTTACAGATCTTGAATTAACATGTTTTGTTTGAAAAACTTTACATTTTAATTTGGAGGATATAGATTTTTTGGATTCTAATTTTTTTCAAGTGGTTTTCCAAACTGAAAGGTAGCATTGGAATGATAACATTTCTATGATTTATATTTGTCCTTTTAAAGTTCAGATATTTTAAAAAAATTGTATTTATTTCATAAGCTACAAGTATTAAGTTGCTTTCTTTGTTTTAAAAGGAATACATTTGTAATTTGACTGTCACAAAAATTATACTTGCACAGATGTAACATATAATGATATTTTAAATTTCTATGATTTTTTAAAGGAAAATTACAAGAAAGATGACACAAGCTCTACCAAAGACCAATCAGGGGTGCCTGTTACAACAGCCAGGATAGACGACCAGAACAGCAGTTGCAGCTCTTCCAGTGGAGGGAGTGAGAGCAGGCTGCTGATCAATAAATGACTTTTGAGGGGTGGATCTAGCAGCAAACACAGGAGAGTTATAGATCTGTGATAATATTTAAAATGAATATTTTAGATATAAATACATGTATAAATTCAAAATAAAATAACTTTAAATTTTTGTTAAATATCTTCATACAGCTTCTATGAATATATTATTCTTACTTGTGAAGAAATATTTTTCCAAAGGTATAAAAAAAGTTTGAGTTTGGCCATTTTTATTCAGTAGGTTGGGGGAGGGAAAACAAACAATTATTTAAAGATTACCTAACCAGTTAACTGCAAGTATCATAATACTTATCGAAGAAGGTGTATCATCCCATCCCTAGCACTGTTGTTTATTATTGTAGTATAAATTGTATGCTCTGAAAAAAACTCCAGTAATATAAATAAGAGAAATTGGCAATGGAATGAAAAAAATGATTATAAGAAAGATTTTCTGTGTAAAATCATTAGAATACATGTTTATTATTTTTTTTATTGAAGAGAGTGCATACGTGTATGAAGTCCACAATTATTTTTTTCTTTTTTAATAATAAGTCTGCTCTGTGGATTGTGTAAAAACTACTAAAATTCCATTCCATCTTCAAGTGCTACGTGTAGGATTTCAATCATTTGGATAAATATTTTTATTTTAATTTTGTAATTTTTTTTAGATTTTTGCGTATGATCAATATTAATACATTTATTGATTTTGTTTGATTTTTATGAGTATTTTTCTCTGTATTTAAGCTTAACTGCAGCATTTGTATTTTATTTATATTAAAACATTTTGAAGATGTGCAGTTCTGAAAACATTTATTCATCTTTTAGGTTAGGCATATTTCTTTACATTGATTTTGTTTACTTATCTGTTAGTATCATGATCCAGATAGAAAATATTCCGGTTCTTTGTTCACAGACTTCATATTTTTTTCCTCATTTGATTTTATGTATAAAATGCCTTATTATTTATTAAAGATTGTAAAATATTTGAAGGTATTTTTCTTGAATTGAGATGTTTTGCAGTGATCTGTTACTATATTTCCTTTATACATGTAGATGTAAGACATAAAAATGCCTGATTACTGTGTCATATGAAAAAAATACAGTGAAAACTGTCTAGTCTGAAACCTGTGAAATCCGTTTCACTGTGAATTCCAACCTTCATTTAAATTCTCATTTCATCCTGTCTATTCAAAAGACGAAGTTTGTCTCCCAGTGCATGTTGAATTAGATACGTTTCACTGTATATGTAAACTTGGAAGAATAAATTATGTGTACTATCGGTGCTCTTGAGAAGTACTTAACTCCCCATAATACAAGATTTTCATTATCTTTGCATAGAAGTGACTTGAAGAAACAGGATTTAATGTTCAAAATGTTTCCATTAAAAAGATAAAGTGAATTAAATAAATTTGTTTGAACTTGTTACCAAAGGTTAGTCCTAGAAAATGTGCCTCTTTTTCCAAGTGTTTAATTCATTAAGATCAATAGGAAGTAGTGATTAGGTGTCAGAAAATAATGAGATATAAGTTCCTATTTACAAGTATTTGGTATATTTGAGCTTGGACTGAATCAATAACTCTTAAATCAAATTACTGATCAAATTACTGGTTTCTATTATGTAAAACTCTAGTGGATATGATATAGTGGTGTACAATCAAATGACATAAGGCCAAAAAAGTTTGTTTTTTAACACTCTGATGAGCAAGTAAAAGTATACTGCTTAGTGTATATTATAATAAAGCTTATAGGTATGTTATCTTTAGTGAACAGTATTTCACCCAAAATAATATTTTTAATATTAAAAGTAATTCTTTTTAAAGTGTTTTGTAAATTAAAATTCAGGCATTTTGACATCATAGAAAGCTGCTTTTTAATAAAAATGGAAATCGTATATTTACTTATTTTGTCTTTGGTCATTTGCAAAATTATTTTGATAAAACATTCTGATTGTACACACAAGTACTCTGAAGTTGATAATAAAAAGATGCTTGAGTTTCTGATTGACAATATCTATGTAGTTTTTGGAGATCAGGTCTTCCAACAATCTGTCGGAATTTCCATGGGTACCAATTATGTCCCGTTATTAGCAGACCTATTTTTGTATTCATATGAAGCAGAATTTATTCTAAAACTTGTACACGAGAAGAAGAAAACACTTGCTGTGGCCTTCAACTCGACATTTATATATATCGACGACGTATTATCAATTAGCAATAGTTGCTTCCATTCATATGTCGACTCGATATCCAGGTTAACTTAAAATAAAAGCTATTGACAAACAAGTTGATGAAACAACAAGAATATCAACAGTCTCGTTTAAAGTCATCATTTCGCAAGTTCTATGGTCGATTCAATGACCTTGTCAGCAAATACAATCTATCATTAAGTCAAATGATGACTTATGTTTTTCATACTAATTATTAGGCCATTATTTACACGCTGAATTGTCTACGGATTTTCCCGTTTTCCCGATCATGACAAGGAGCACATGGCTGGTGTTATTGGTCGACGGGGGATGCTTACTCCTCCATGGCACCTGATCCCACCTCTAATGTTAATAGAGGTCCATGTTTGCTCCTGATTTATATTGTTTCAATGGGCTTTTGAGCTTGATTATTGCTCGTTACCTCCATATTTGATTCATTATTCCTTTGTAAATTGCACCTACATGTACACTGAAGTATATATTTAAACGCATTAAAATTAAACTAACACGTATACAAAGAGTTATAAGAACGATAATAGATAAATATTTAGTATAACTATAGCAATAAGACCTCTAGAATGTGCAATCTTTGTCATGCAGTCCATTCTTGTGACAATATTTTATTTTCTTCGTTTCATCTATTGTTGTACAGCGGCCTGCTTCATCTGTCGTCTAGAAATACAACGTTCCATCATGATTCCTGCACTAGAATGACAGTCTGCTTTACTATGTAGTTCATTTGATTATCGATCTTACAGGAACTGATTCCATTTCGTTCTAACTTCTATTGAAAATTGGGAAAATAAATTTTATGATCTCCAGATTCCTGGTACATTGACGTTTGAATTCCATGCCATGGAAATTCATGCTATTTTGATAATCTCTTCTTCTGTACACATCGGGCAAATTGTTAATGTGCAGTAAGCCTTTAATTTACTGACACATAAATATCACTGTACCTGAGAAGAGGCTACTTTTCTTAGATGTGTCTAAATTGTCCATACTCTGAACGTCCTGGACAAAATTATTAGTTTGATAATACATTTGTAATGAAGAAGTTTGAAAATCTTCTCTTGTAGACATCTTGCAGGCAAATATGATCTATTCCTAATGAATAATGATTCTGAATACAGTGGCCCATGGATTCAGATAAGATTTTGGTCCAGAGTGTGGCAAACGTGGTCATTTATTGTAAATGCCTATCTTTGTGAATCCCTCTCTTATCTAACTCCTGAGTATCTAATATTAAGCAACCTAGAGTCATGAAAATAAGTAATAAACCTTCTACCTTATTGTGAAGTTCTTGATTCCTGTATCGAAGGTTTCGGCCTCAGGGTGAAACGAAGCTGATTAAATTTTGTACAAAAAAAAAAACGAAGAACGTTTTCTCTTGGCTATCTAGATGGCGTATTGTCTGCATGTCAATTTGAATGATTAGTTCAATTTTTACTATCTTTGAGTCGCCCGCGTGGCGCAGTGGTTAGAGCGTTCGCTCTAGAGTCGCGGCGTAAGGAGTTGATCCTTACGTCGCGGGTTCGAATCCCACTTCGGATGAGACTGTATAAACCGAGGTCCCGTGTCGCAGTAGGTGCTGGCACGAAAAAGATCCCTCACTGCTCAATGGCCGTAAGTGCCGAGTATAGGACAAAATTTGCAGCTCTCCACCGGCAAGTGGTGGCGTCTCCATATGAGTGAAAAATTCTCGAGAGGGACGTTAAGCAACATACAAACAAACAAAAAACTAATTTTGAAAGTGATGATGATTTAGGTCGGTTTATTAAGTTATTCTGTTACGACCCCAGGGCAAAGTTTAGGGTCACAAGAAAATGTGTGGGTCTCAAGGCTAAATAAAGACCAAACTGAAATTCAACAGTCATCATTTGACAAAGGTACGTGTACATGTATATTGGAAGAAGCTTCTTAAAATCCCATCAAGAACAATAAAATAGCAATCAGTGTAATTAATTTAGTAACTATCCTATTAATTTACTTTTTAATGATGTTCAAATCTCTGACGATGAGCGTTTGACTTCAATGAAATGCTAATTTGAATAAAGTAAACATTTGGGGAAAACGTGAAACCTAGGGCATGAATGCATTTTTCAACTGTTTTAATTGCTAGAACAATTTACTTGTACGTTTTGGGGGGAAGTGGGTGTCTTGTACATTTTATTGATATCTGACATTTTTCTAACAACCACGTCCAGGATTTCTTCAGAAAAGCTGGTAGATTGCTTGGATAAAAAGTAGCTTGAAAGTAAGGTGGCTGAGCCAACATCTGATGATCTCTTGCTGTTTAGTAGTATCCATCATTTTTTGTGGTAGCGTAGGGCGTGAGCACGGGTCCGAAAGCTGTTCTGGATCTGGTTAAATAATCAAATTAGGCCTAATTTTCATGAAATATTGAGACTGTCCTCTTGTTATCATTAGGTTTAATATGTAAGTCTAATATGTAAATTTTACATATTTTATTCCAGATAAATTCAATTAATATCTTCAAGGGATAAAATACAAGCTATAGATCATTTCTTGTAGAGAAATTAAACATTTTCCATTACACATTTTACAGTCTGCTCAATATTAATGGAAAAAGGCAGCCTAACATTTTGATTGCAGAACAAAACTATCCTCTGTCACCTAAAGGTGGGATTGGGATTTGTTTTGGGATTAATGTATAAAATATTCATTTCCAAGGAAGGAAAATGAAACACAGGATCGAAGTTCATTGATCTTTTATTTTTCTATAATAGTCCTGATAGAAGTTCATTGGTCTTTTGTTAGCTCACCTGAGCTGAAAGCTCAAGTGAGC